GAAGCTTCCTGAAACATAAAATACCCTTTGACCTGTATCACAAGAACAATGAGTCTCACCTGACTTATCTATACAGGTTACTTCCAAAACATACACTTTGTCCTAACATCACTTATTCAATGTTTGACCCTTTTACACAAAATGTTACATGTACGTACACAATCAGACAAGTATTTATTCTAAATTATTGACAGGCATCTGAACAAAATTGAATTACAGGTGCACCCCAAGCCTGTTCCCACCCCCCCCCCCCCCCCCGCTTCAGTGTATATGCAAGATGTGCTGTTTTGAGCTGCCGCAAGATGAGCTGCCACTCTCCTTTTGCTCCCCCCCCCCCAACCTTATTTCCTATTTAAGCTTCTGTTCACCTCTCTCTCTCTCTTTGCCTCTCCGTCTTTCCTACTGACCATGTACCTCGTATTTTCACTCTGTCTATGCTGGTTTGTGCAATCCAGAAGTTGAACACGAAATTTAACACTCTTCTGAAATTCGTGGTCCGCCAGGAAGTGTCTGTGTTGTTGGCCTGACTGGTTGTGCTTCACATGTTTTTTAGGTCTGTTAAATTCTCGTCTCTCATCTTTTTTACATCCATGATTTGTTCTTGCCATGATTTGTCCTTGTCACCTGGTGAAGATCGCTTGTGTTGTGATCTAAACGTCGTGATATGTTTTGTATTTAATATAATTTTATTGTATTTCTACATACGTGACTACCGAAAAAACCAATGAGTAAGGTTACATCGCATTAACAAGAAGCTATTTTAAAAAAATATGCACCGTCTGCTTAACAGTGTATGTACAACGTGCTATTGCGCCAAAACGAGTTGGCCATTGCATGCTGGCGTCTGCGTCAAAATGTATCAAATTCTAAACATTACCTACAAACTACACAACCAAGATCCCACATCAACCATCACCCCCTACTGACAGGCTCTTGTACACATGCAGGCCGGTGCAGGGCCACCTTGTGCCACACAGGGGCAGCTGCCACTTGGGGGGGGGGGGGGTCCTTCGCTTGTTTGAGATGAGATTCGATACGAAACACCGAGTTGCCGAGGCAAGTAGGCAAGCGATTTATGAGTGCAAATATGATGTTGGTAACGTAGTGAATGCTTGGGAGCTTCATCGTCTCTCGCTCCTGCTGACAGATGTACCCAGCCCACAGCTCCACAGATACAAGACGCTCCTCCTGTGCAGGTTCGGCTACGTACGGTGCAAAAGAAGTTCCAGATACACACAGAGACTCACAGAGACCCACAGAGAGCATGGTTGGCTACGTATGGTGCAAAATAAGTTCAACGTACACACAGAGAGTCAGAGCAAGTTTGAGTTGCGTGTAGTCGTGGGCCATGAAAGTTGAATTGGCGCATGTTGCTACTGACAGTAGTTGAATACGGTTGGGAAGATGCTGATAGACACACACAGAGACTGACAAGAGAGAGGTGGACAGACACAAACAAGAGGAAGACAGAAAGAAAGATACAGAGACGACAGAGACACAGTCAGTGAGAGAGAGAGACACAGAGGGGAACAGAGACACAGATGGACAGAGATATGTTGAATCGAACAAACTGAACTTGCTCCACTGAAAGAGATTCCTCAATCTTTGCCCATCCCCGGAAGTCGTTCCAGTTTCTATTTATTTCATTGTATGTGGTGCGTACGTGTAAGCAATGTGGGATATCAATGTAGACAGATATGAACAAGATCAGCAGACAAGACGTCTTTCATACTCATTGGTTCTTTGAGTGAAGTCACGCAGGTAGAAAAAATAAAATAAATCACGACGCTTCTATCGCAACACGAGCGGTCGTCCTCAGGCGAAAACATCCAGACATTGTGGCGGCAGAAGTCACGTGAGCTACGGCACGTGACAAAGATAAGGTGACCCCCCACCCCCGTGGCTCGCCCTGCTCAGCTGAGCATTGTTTTAATGTGGTGGGCTCACGCGAAATTAATTTCTGGAAGACGAAGGTACTTTCAAAACCCACTGGCTAAACTCTTTTATATAAGTGTTGTGTCCTTAACTAACGACACGTAGACGTCTGGTTGAGGCAACGCGTTTATTATAACTCTTTTGAACTCTGCTCTACACACTACTGTACCACGAAGGAGTACGGCCCCTTCCACTTGATAGCCTACGCGAGTGACAGCCTCCCTTCTATCACAGCCTGCACACTCCGGGCTCTGCTACACACGGGTCCCCTAGCCCGGCGTTAAGGGAAGACTGGACGACCCGTCCCAGCCAGGGTACGGGAGCTCACCTCTGGTCCGCTACAACCCGGCTCTAACAAGAGCCTCGGTTGAGGGTCCCTGGGTGCTGGTCCAGTCTTCAGGTCTTCGGATGTCTTCAGGCTTGAGTTGGTGAACACTGCCCGGCCGGTCCAGGGGGCCGGGCTTTTAACCCCAGGTCGGGGTCACCCCTCCCCTCCTGAACCACCAACCCCCCCTCCCAGAACCTTCTGGAAGGTCTTATCTTAAGGGGCCTTAGAGACGGGTGGGGGGGTCAGGGATGTTATTCTCGGGTCACGGGGGTGGGGGCGGGGGTTTACTTTGGTCGACCCGTACACACCTCACTCTCTCTCGGCTGCCCCCTGTTGACCCGTGAACGTGGTGGCAGGTCAGCTGACAGCGCCTTGTTATGGCGCTTACGCACAACTTCGTGACTAACGCTGCACGTTCCGTCGTTTTCATGCAGGGGGCGCTGCAAACCTACGCGTCCCCTGCATGAACGATGGAGGCGCAGGGACAGATGTTCGATCGCATTGGAATCAATTTGCGGACGGCGGTCTTCTCGCACGGCCAGCTCTGTGTCGCCTCATCTGGATCCCGCGATCCCAACCAGGTGAAAGTTCGCATCGAACCAAACCACCGGCAAAGCCATCTACTTAATGACGCGAGAAAATTCACACGAAATATCGTTTTCAATTAATAAGCTTTTAATGAAGAAATACAATTAACTAATTCAAAATAATACAATTCAAAGTTGTTTCATTTTAAAACTTCAAAACGGAGCATCGGGAGCTTGCGTGGAGGTGTCGTTCGTGTGCAATTTTTTTTCGTGACTTTCCTGGCCCCAGGCCGTAAATGGTTGTGAGGGGCACCGCAGGCGATCTGGCTTGCTTCAACCCTTGGTTGTGAACATCCAGACGTTAATCAGCAAGGACCATTTCTTGTCCTAATTCGAGAAAATCTACATCAACACGTAATACAAAATTATAATTCGTGTTGTAGAGAATGTATCTCCTCTACGTGTAACTTTTGAGTGGTATGCCTTGTAACTGATGAATGATCCGAGTGTGCTCCCTATTTCAAAGACAATGAGTTGCTCCAGAGGGAGAAGCTTCCTGAAACATAAAATACCCTTTGACCTGTATCACAAGAACAATGAGTCTCACCTGACTTATCTATACAGGTTACTTCCAAAACATACACTTTGTCCTAACATCACTTATTCAATGTTTGACCCTTTTACACAAAATGTTACATGTACGTACACAATCAGACAAGTATTTATTCTAAATTATTGACAGGCATCTGAACAAAATTGAATTACAGGTGCACCCCAAGCCTGTTCCCACCCCCCCCCCCCCCCGCTTCAGTGTATATGCAAGATGTGCTGTTTTGAGCTGCCGCAAGATGAGCTGCCACTCTCCTTTTGCTCCCCCCCCCCCAACCTTATTTCCTATTTAAGCTTCTGTTCACCTCTCTCTCTCTCTTTGCCTCTCCGTCTTTCCTACTGACCATGTACCTCGTATTTTCACTCTGTCTATGCTGGTTTGTGCAATCCAGAAGTTGAACACGAAATTTAACACTCTTCTGAAATTCGTGGTCCGCCAGGAAGTGTCTGTGTTGTTGGCCTGACTGGTTGTGCTTCACATGTTTTTTAGGTCTGTTAAATTCTCGTCTCTCATCTTTTTTACATCCATGATTTGTTCTTGCCATGATTTGTCCTTGACACCTGGTGAAGATCGCTTGTGTTGTGATCTAAACGTCGTGATATGTTTTGTATTTAATATAATTTTATTGTATTTCTACATACGTGACTACCGAAAAAACCAATGAGTAAGGTTACATCGCATTAACAAGAAGCTATTTTAAAAAAATATGCACCGTCTGCTTAACAGTGTATGTACAACGTGCTATTGCGCCAAAACGAGTTGGCCATTGCATGCTGGCGTCTGCGTCAAAATGTATCAAATTCTAAACATTACCTACAAACTACACAACCAAGATCCCACATCAACCATCACCCCCTACTGACAGGCTCTTGTACACATGCAGGCCGGTGCAGGGCCACCACCTTGTGCCACACAGGGGCAGCTGCTATTTGGGGGTGCTCTTCGAGTGTTTGAGACAAGATATGATACAAAACTCCGAATTGCCAGAGGCGATTAAGCAACCACCATATAATTGGAATAATTAGAACCTTGTGAATGCTTGGGAGCTTATTGACTCTCGCTCATGGTTAGAGATCTACCCAACCCACAGGTCCACAAAGACTGGCTGCTCTTACCCTGCAGGTTGAACCTAGGAATTAAGTGTTCAACTTTATTGTTGTCATTAAAGGCCTGTGACAAAGGTGCATCTATTGGAGCGACATCGTCTCAAGCTTACACATATAACGGGTCTCCAATTGACTTCGTATTGTCTCGGAGGAAGTCCACCCACACCTCCACTTCCACAAACTGCTGAGAATTGCCTCGCTCTGCCTCACAGTCAGAATTCTCCTCCTGCTTCACGTTTCCTCCATTAATGTGTCGGTCCGACTTTGGAGTTGAATCATCTTCACATTTTACCTTCACTTCTTCGCTCTTCACCATCACTTGTTCATATTTCACCTTCACCTCTTTATATTTCACCTCGATACCTTTAAAAGTGTCCAAGCTTGGATTTTCTTCCGGTTCTTGTTTCATGAGGGATGGGCTCATTGCGCCACTTTGACTTCCACAAGCTGATTTCAGACTCCACTCCTTGTGGGTCTTCTGATGCTTGCGAGTTCTCTTGTGTTTTTGAAGATGTGGTGACTGTGCAAACGCCTTCCCACACACACTGCACTTGAAGGGTTTCTCTCCTGTGTGTGTTCTCTGGTGTTTTTTAAGAGTAGATGAATGTGCAAACGCCTTCCCACACACACTGCACTTGAAGGGTTTCTCTCCTGTGTGTGTACTCTGGTGTTTTATAAGAGTAGATGATCGTGCAAACGCCTTCCCACACACACTGCACTTGAAGGGTTTCTCTCCTGTGTGTGTTCTCTGGTGTTTTACAAGAGCAGATGAATCTGAAAACGCCTTCCCACACACACTGCACTTGAAGGGTTTCTCTCCCGTGTGAGTTCTCTGGTGTACTTGAAGATGTGATGAATGTGCAAACGCCTTCCCACACACACTGCACTTGAAGGGTTTCTCTCCCGTGTGTGTTCTCTGGTGTTCTACAAGAGTAGATGAACGTGCAAACGCCTTCCCACACACACTGCACTTGAAGGGTTTCTCTCCTGTGTGAGTTCTCTGGTGTGTTACAAGAGTAGATGACTGTGTGAACGCCTTCCCACACACACTGCACTTGAAGGGTTTCTCTCCCATGTGTGTTCTCTGGTGTTCTACAAGAGTAGATGAACGTGCAAACGCCTTCCCACACACACTGCACTTGAAGGGTTTCTCTCCCGTGTGTGTTCTCTGGTGTGTTACAAGAGGAGATAAATCTGAAAACGCCTTCCCACACACACTGCACTTGAAGGGTTTCTCTCCTGTGTGAGTTCTCTGGTGTGTTACAAGAGTAGATGACTGTGTGAACGCCTTCCCACACACACTGCACTTGAAGGGTTTATTTCCCGTGTGTGTTCTCTGGTGTGCTACAAGAGCAGATGACGGTGAAAATGCCTTCCCGCACACACTGCACTTGAAGGGTTTCTCTCCTGTGTGAGTTATCTGGTGCCGTGTCAAATGTTCAGTACTATCCGTGCTGTTTGCACGCCGGTTGCATTGATGCCTTTTTGCACCGAGCTGCGCTGAGTGCCTTTGCTCCATCAGACAAATTCTGCAGAGGAAGCGACAGCTGCAGAGAGAAAAAAAAGAATATCCACACCATCTACACGTCAGTATTGATGCACAGAGGAATGCATATACACAGTCAAAGGTGACTTACATGTCTATACTTATTCATATATTTATGATATAGTGAAAAAGTGTCCCAAATTCATCACACGGGCTGTTATGGCACACAACGAGAGGGCGAATGTCATAAACATGCCTGGAAGCCCTCGTATCTTCAAAATGAATGTTAACCCAAAACTCCGAGCACACAATTTCGGCTATCTGGCTTCAAAAGGAATATTTATGAAAGCTAAATTCAGCTGACATACCAAAGGGTGTTGAAAATAATACTGTTTGTGTTATGCAGAAATGCATAAATTAATGTTCAATCGCAACTTAGAGGTGTGAAGCCAGGCACAGATGTCCTTGAATGCTGGGATGAACAGTTCTGACTTCAACTGCACATGTGCTGTGATAACTTCCTGACTCCATTTTTACAAAAAGTTCCAGAGGAAATAAAAAATAAACTGTTTTGATATAACCTCCGTGCTCAATAGAGTTAATAGACTTTACTGCAAAATACAAACTTGACCCTGTCACACACTCAGAGGTGGAGCCAGGATTTTCAGGAAGATGGGGCAACCCCTTCAGCAATGAAAAATGATAGGAGTTGTTAGTAAGTAAGGAGTTGTTAGTAAGTAAGTTGTTAGTATGTAAGGAGTTGTTAGTAAGCAAGGAGTTGTTAGTAAGGAGTTGTTAGTAAGGAGTTGTAAGGAGTTGTTAGTTAGTAAGGACTTGTCCCTTGCTTTTTATTTGACGCGTATGATAGGCACCGCGCTCGCTGAAAGTGTTTGCCATCAGGGAAGTCGTGTACTGTATACACAACTGCGCACAATTCTGTGAGTCGCTTGTAACAGCTTTGCCGTGACTTATTGCCAATTTTGGACTCGGACTGTTGTCCTCTCATAGAGTCCCTGGCACGTAATAATATGCCAAACAGTGGCAGTGGGGGTCGCAAAATGCTGATTTATCTATATATATATAAAAGGGAAATGTGTGGATATGTGTGTCTGTTCGAAAGTGTTTAGCATACTTCCCAACATGCTACACACTTGAAATTTGGCATGTGGGTAGGTTCCGTACTGTACACAATGAACAAAGTATAAAAATATAAGGAGGGAGGAAAGACGGACAGGGAGGCAGAGAGAGAGAGAGAGGGGGAGGTGCGGAGGGATGAACAGAAGCTTAAATAGGAAATACGGTTGGAGGGGGAGAGGGGCCAGAGCGAGAGCGGCAGATAAAAAACGCACATCTTACACATACAAAACGGCAGCTCAAAAAAGGACCACCTCTTGTAAATACAAAATGGCAGCTCAAAAAAGGACCACCTCTTGTAAATCCAAAACGGCAGCTCAAAAAAGGGCACATCTTACACATAAGTACAACGGTAACTTCCCCGTAGAAGTGTGATAATAAAGTATTAAAGCTTTCGTGACTGCATAAAATGACTCATTGGTTTTTTCGGTAAAGTCACGTATGTAGAAATACAATAAAATTATATTAAAACAAAAAAACAATCACGGCGTTTCGATCACAACGCAAGCGATCTTCATCAGGTGTCAAGAACAAATCACGGAGGTAAACACAACAAAAAGATGAGAGACGAGAATTCAACAAACCTGAAAAACATTATGTGAAGCACATCCAGTCAGGCCAACAACACAGTTAGACACTTCCTGGCGGACCACGAATTTCAGGAGAGTGTTAAATTTCGTATTCAACCTTTGGATTGCACATACCAGCATAGATAGAATGAAAAATACGAGGTTCTACATACGTGACTTTACAAAAAAAAACAATGAGTAATTTTATGCGGTCACGAAAGCTTTAATACTTTATTATCACACTTCTACGGGGAAGTTACCGTTGTAATTACGTGTAAGATGTGCCCTTTTTTGAGCTGACATTTTGTATTTACAAGAGGTGGTCATTTTTTGAGCTGCCGTCTTGTATCTACAAGAGGTGGTCCTTTTTTGAGCTGCCGTTTTGTATGTGTAAGATGTGCGTGTTTGAGCTGCCGCTCTCGCTCTGGCCCCTCCCCCCCTCCAACCGTATTTCCTATTTAAGCTTCTGTTCATCCCTCCGCCCCCCCCCCCCCCTCTCTCTGCCTCCCTGTCCGTCTTTCCTCCCCCCTTACCTCTTGGTGGACATGTATATGTATTTCTACTGACCTTGTACCTCGTATTTTTATTCTATCTATGCTGGTATTTGCAATCCAAAGGTTGAACACGAAATTTAACACTCTTCTGAAATTCGTGGTCCGCTAGGAAGTGTCTGTGTTGTTGGCCTGACTGGATGTGCTTGACATGTTTTTTCAGGTTTGTTGAATTCTCGTCTCTCATCTTTTTGTTGTATTTACCTCCGTGATTTGTTCTTGACACCTGATGAAGATCGCTTGCATTGTGATCGAAGCGTCGTGATTGTTTTTTGTTTTTTTGTTTAAATATAATTTTATTGTATTTCTACATACGTGACTTTACCGAAAAAAAATTGAGTAATTTTATGCAGTCACGAAAGCTTTAATACTTTATTATAAAAATATATTTTTGTATTTTGTATGACCATGAAGTTTGTTACGTCAACCCGCAACACACCTGAGTTAAGCGCTCTGCAATGCTTAGAGCTGTTCACAGCGTGCCGGGAGATTTTAGGTGGCGCGTCGCTCCTGGCCGATGAAGCCATTGGTTTCTCGGAGTTTCAATACATATCCGTGCGAAGAACGGGTAGAACGGCTATCTTAAATATGAAGCAGAAAATTGCATCTGTTTGTTTGTGTGAAGCAGCAAAACCTCTCCAACGCTGAGCTTTGGCGTCATGAAATTTTCACAGCTTATGCTGTTTGGAATTTCTAAGTGAACGCGACTATTTTCAGCTCGCCACGTCATTCATTCCAGAGTGGCGAAAATCGACCTTGCGTAGAAGTGGATTAAGGTTAAATTTCCTTGAGTGAAAACAACCGATTTAGGTAACTTGATTTGTTTTGGCTTTTTACCTTCTTGCAGGCATCAACATTTAAGGGTTTTTCAGTGAAATATAAGGTAATATGAAATATATCCAAGACAAGAATCCAAGTTCCGGGCGAAGCCGGGTAGTGAAGCTAGTTACTAATAAACCCCAATGATCCAATCGAAATTAGGGATTTCGATCGGACTGTTGGGGGGGCACGTGCCACCCCACCCCCACTGGCTCCACCACTGTCATGGACTGGCATGCTACACAGGTGATGGTGTGTCCAGACCCACGCCTGGCCACGTTCACCTTCTCAGAATTAATGCTTCCTCACTCCACCAAGCAAATTCATTGAGGATCAATCAACACAGCCGAAGTTGTGTGTCTCTATCTCTCTTCCCGTGGTTGCGTGGATTTCCTTCCCGATACCCGGGGTTCCCCTCCACATGTAGAGTGTGAACACCACCACGCGTCTAGGGTGAACACCGCCACGCGTCTAGAGTGAACACCGCCACGCGTCTAGAGTGAACACCGCCACGCGTCTAGAGTGAACACCGCCATACGTCTAGAGTGAACACCGCCACACGTCTAGAGTGAACACTGCCACGCGTCTAGAGTGAACACCGCCACGCTGTTGACGAGCCTCACCTTGTGATGTCGGCAGGTCGCTTCTAAAAACAAAAGCAGCACAGCAGCTCAAGCGGGCCTGGCCTGGTAAAAAAAGAATGAAATAAAAACTGCGTGAATATTTAAAAGTAAAACAAAGTGACAAAGTGGCGAGCCGAGTGAAGACAAATTAAACTTAAGCGATAGAATTGAAGCAAACGCGATCAGGCGAGGGCAGGAGGCAAGGCCCCGGGTGGCTAGGCCCCGCGCTGTAAAGTTCCAACCTGGACATCGCTTCCATGCTCGCTGCTACTCAATTGACATCCCTACGAGAGAGACAGCGAGGCTCTACCTCTGTAAACAACAACCACCACCACAACCACCACCACCACCACCACTACAACCACCACCAACACAACAACCACCACCACAACCACCACCACATCAACCACAACCACCACCACAACAACCACCACCACAACAACAACCACAACAACAACCACCACCACAACAACCACCACAGCAACCACAACCACCACAATAACTACAACAACCACCACCACAACCACCACAACAACCACCATGACAACCACCACAACAACCACCACCACAACAACAACAAACACCACAACAACCATTACCACCATAACAACCACAACCACCACCACTACAACAAACACCACCACCACAACAACAACCACTAGCACAACAACCACTACCACAACAATCACCACCACAACTATCACCACAACAACCACCACCACAGCCACCACCACAACCACAACCCCCACAACCACAACCACCACCCCACAACCACTACCACAACAACCACTACCACAACAACCACTACCACAACAACCACCACCACAACAATAATCACCAGAACTACCACCACAACAACCACTACCACAACAATAACCACCACAACTATCACCACAACAACCACCACCACAGCCACCACCACAACCACAACCCCCACAACCACAATCACCAGAACCACCACCACAGCCACCACCACAACCACAATCACCAGAACCACCACCACAACCACCACCAAAACCACAACAACCACAACAACAACCACCACCACAACAACCACCACAGCAACCACACCCACCACAATAACTACAACAACCACCACCACAACCACCACAACAACCACCACAACAACCAGCACCACAACAACAACAAACACCACAACAACCATTACCACCATAACAACCACAACCACCACCACTACAACAAACACCACCACCACAACAACAACCACTAGCACA